TGCTGTCCTGCGGGTCTCGGTTTACGTTTAACCCCCTTCCTCGATCTCTGTTTCCATCTTTTGGACTGGAGGAGTACGATTCTGTTACCATGTCAAAGATCTGTCTGTAGATGATTCTAAAAAGGAAAAACAGGATCTTTTTTGCTAATGTGCAAATATCAGTGTTATCGTAGCTGGTCTGAGCTCTATAGGAGTAGAAATAACAACTTCCTGTCTCATGAAGACCACTAGAAAAGTCAGCAATCTTAATGCAATCAAGGGCTTTTTCTCTCTGCATTCACACCACCAACAGGATCTGTGATGAGGCATTAAACTTGCAGGCGGTTGGTATAGCAACGCAACATACAACAGCACGATAGAGGACGCCTTTGAGACCGAGCCAGCACTATTTGCATCAACGTTTACATAGGGATAACTGTGCGACAGAGGAGTTCAAACTCTCTTTTCAACCAGTATAGGCCTCAAATATGTTATGATTGTAGTGTACAGTAAAAAATATTACAACAGCTTCTTTAAAGTGGGGCAATTAAACGCCTGTGATCAGAGTAACGGCAGGAATGTCTGAAGGGTCAGTGGCACCATTAGCAGAGTAAAGGGCACAACCTGGAATGCTCAGAGATATCAAATCACAGCAGTGTGGGGGGTGGGGTGGGGACGGGACAGGCTGCTAAACAGGGCTCAGTTAGAGGCTGATTCACATTAATCAGGACTCGTCTCGAAGTCATGTGTCATGTCAAGGAAACACACGGTGCATGTCCGACCGCTAACAAACAAACTGATGCATGTTTCTCTGTACGTGACACCCATTTGGTCGTCCTTCAGGTCCGAGGTCAAACGTACACATAGCCCGAGAAGATTCAAATAGAACTGTATTATTAAACATGCAAGAGGAACAGGTGTTTGTTGGAGGGCGATGATGATCAGAACACACCCTGAAAAGATTGCGATTCTCACACCAGCCCATGAAAAGCTGTAACACAACTCTTTTACAGCGTGAGTAGAGTTAATATGAGACACTAAAAAAAGACAAGCTCCCCCAAGAGGTCTTCATGTTTGTGATTTGTTTTCTGCATTTTTGTTATGGGTTAAAAGTCAGATCTAAGTTTTTTTTTTTTTGTTCCTGACAGACAGAACCAAACACAGCGTCCTGGCCGTGTTCCATGTCTTCAGTCATTTCCCACATCGTGGCACAGTGCTGGACTGGGAATAAACAGAGGAGCCCGCTGTGCTCCCAGAATGCATGTTTGCAGAGTTCCCATCAGTGAGTACACAGTAATAGGACTCCCTGAAGGCCTGTATTTAACCTTTAGGTTACAAGTGGCTGGCCACTCCACAGGCCGACCCCTTCCCCTAAACTCAGCGATTAACCCTTTCTTGCTCATTTTTAGTTCAGCACAAATAGAAACAAGAGATAAAAGTCGGATAGAAATCGAAACATTTTAAGAGCAAATGAAAGATTGACGAAATCATCTGCTCATTCCAAAGTTTAAAATGAACTTTGAAACATTTTGGACCAACAAAAAAAAATCTGAAATTTCAAGAAAACTGGCCAAACTGCTGATGAAGACCACGTGATCGGATCAAAAGCTCCAGGACAAGACCTCATGTCAGATACGTTTAACTGACATGACTCAGTCCGACAAGCAAAACAAAGAGAAATAAAGCAGAAGCCACGATAAACGACCATTGTCCTTCTCCAAACCACATAGTAGAGAGACAGCTTTCTTATCTGAATTCCAAAAATTAACTTAAAGGCAACTAAACAAGATTTCCTAAAACAAAATAGAATACTTGAAATGCAAACCCTCTGAGTCTGTATCGTTTAGCTGTCCTGCAGAGTAATCAGAAGAGACACTGCTGGAACCATGGCTCTCGTCTCGAAAAGGAAACACGCGATTGATGGCTTGGGTTTAAAAACATACATCGAGTTCTGTTAGAAATATTCATCTGGGCTAAAAAAGTTTGATCCAAATCAGAGCCTGTGACATCAAACAGACTTTGTTTTAAGAATACTGTGTTTGTTTAATTGGACTGAAATCTAAAGGATTTAGAACCATATCGAGAAAAAATAACAGAAAGGAAAATGTTCTCTCACTCACACAAACCAAATCACAGTGAGAGAGTCAACCTGTCTATATAAACAGATGAAGGAGGAGGATCAGAGTTGGCCTAATGCTGGGAAAATGCCCTTTGGACATGCTGACAGAACGGAAACATGTGCATTGGGGCCGGCATGGGGGATTAAGCTGTGATAAAAAAAAAAGTACAATTTCTTTTTTCATTGTCTTTTCTTGTAAAGTGCAACAGGTTGTTCACAGAGCAGCTTCATTTTATCCTTCTGCTTATTTTCTTTCAGTATATGCAGAGCTTTAGCAAATGACTGCACCAGCTACACTGTGCAGCCCTGATGATCACCACACAAACTATATTTGAGTCTAAAAGTCTGGATTGTGAGGGACTGATGGTACAGGCACCGCGCTTTACCAACACGCCAAAGCTTTTCTGACAGCGTCATACAGACACTTCATTGTGAGGGCCGCCGGCATCCAGAATGCAACTGCCAGCTGTTTTCTTTGTGGATCAACCCCGAAAGAAAACAGCAGGCCAAGGTCAGCTCAGACTGGCTCCCCCCCCCCGCAGACGGATGAACATTCAAATGCGAGGCCAGAAAACAAAAAAGCATCTCAACTGAGGTGGATAATATTCCGCCTACTGGATAGTTGTGGAATAACTCAACCATCTTCAAAACGTTGGGTGATTGTTCATGAGGATCTGTGTCTGCAGGCGGGGTTTCCATCCACTGGCTGTTATGCACATTTTCACTATAAGTCAATTAAGTTGTTTTTACCCTAAAAAAAAGGTGGAATGGAAAAATCATGAAGCATATGAGCTAAACAATAGCGTCATAAGAAATCCTCTGATTAATGCAGAGCAATAAGGAGACTTTAACATTCCTGAATTCAGACAATGTATGAAAGCATGAGTTTTACTCTTTGATGTTCTTATTTTAATTACACTATGATGTTGTCCCCTGAAGCAGGTTTAATGGGACCTGACTGTAGAAATGTAGCACCAGGGGCTGTGAGCACATTAACTCCTAAAAGTTGCATAACAGAAGGAGCAGATTGGAAACCTGCTTTTTCTGACATTCTGCTCTGGCAGACTGAGCTGTTGTGAAGGAACCCTAACTTAAGGGACAGCTTGGTGTTGGTGTTGGTCTCTCTCATGTCCAGCTGAACTGTTTGATGGACTGACTTCTACGAGGCATGCAAAGCTTCTCTTGATGACATCCTGTACGATGACAATGACGCTGATTTTCCACTTAGGAAACTAAGAGTAACAACTTCCTTTTCCAAAATAAGGGACTACATACAGTACAAGCAGGATTTCATGATTCCACCTGCAATATGCTGGTAAAGTTATGAAAGTGGCTGCTCCACTTTAGTTAGACACAACAGATGAACTTCATATTCATGATTTGTGATTTTGGGAGTCCAAACACTTCTATGTCAGTGTTCTGATAGATGTTGACATTTTGGAGAAGTTTGTGTCCTGCCAAGTGGTAGGGCTGTGTGTCAAAACATAAAATTATATGGTGGTTATGATTCAATATAAAACAATACAAGCTTGAGTTATTTATTTTTTTTACATTAAATGTTAGAAAAACTGTTAAAGTGGAAAGAGCGCCACCATGTGTTATATTTTTTCCCATCCCATTACAACACTACCTGTGGCGTAAAAAAAATCAAAGCTCTACGTCCACTTGCTATGTCAGTGAACAGATTGACATCTTGCATGTAAACTAATCAAAAAAATGAACACAGTGATCAAATTGTTTAGTTTTTTTTACGAGAGATAAGATATTATGTCACCAAGCAAGAAAAATGTCAGTCCTCAAATGTGTCTGAGAGTGACTTTATAGGGATATTAACGTCAACTTTCCACTGTTATAAAATAAAGTGTTTTGGTTTCAGTCTGTTTCATAACCAGATTCAAAAACTCTATCGACACAGTGTAAGGCAGCTTGAGAGCTTTTCGAGTAAGAGATACTTGACTGTGCACCTTCAAACATAAGCAAAAACCTCACATTAACCCCTGATTAACTTTTGACAGACTTTTTAAATTCCACTAAGTTATGTATCACCCACACTGCTTACACTCTGGTATTAGTCTGCATTGTGCTGCCAGCAGCGTGTGGGCAGGAGATTTAACTTTCACACAGTTAACACCTGATGCTTCTGTGTTGGAGCTCAAGCATCTCATCATGAACCTCAAAGTAGCGTCACAACAAAAAAATAGTCCCTCAAACATCCACATGCGGCAGAATCAGTGTTAATATTGAAGTTACTGCTCTCACTAATAAACTTCCCGATGATGTGTGTGTTTGTGTGTGTGTGCACTGGCTGCCACATACACTTATCTGGGGGAAGAGGCCCCCACTTCCACTCCCACTCCCAGTCACAGGATCAGATGAGGTTAAAGAGTCCGAGCTGTCCTTTTTTCTCTTCTGCATTACTACAAACACACAGCCAGCAAGTCTATAAATAAAACTAAAAAAAAATCAAATATGACCACACACAGGTAAATAGCTGTGTTTTCAAAGGAAATCTGCCAAGACCAACATCTCTTAATTGAAGGGTTCTTACACAAACACCCACAAATACATGCACACACACAGAGAGGAGTTCAGACTGGGTTTTAAATGACCCCTTTGCCCTGCTATCACCTTGCGATAAAGACCTACTGGAGAGGGAGGAGGGCTGCTGCGTCTCAGCTCACACCCACTTATCCTTTTAAAGACAGAAACTAACAAGGAACCCCACGCAGACTTAAAGCCATAAAACGCTTTATAACCCTCTAACAGGGGAATGACAGGTTATACTGGCATCATTTCAATAGGTAACCAGACCTGCAAGCGTACTCACATCAATGATTCATGAAGCCACGGCGCCACACAGTTAATGAACAGAAGGATGGTCTCTAATAACAGCACTACTTACACACTCTCTGTCCCAGGAAATGAAAAGCTTCCGTTAAATGAGAGGAAAAGCTCCCCCCTGGGTGAGAAAAGATAAGAGTGATTTCCCTCCTCCAGGAAGTGTCAGAAAGAAAGATCCAAAAGAAAACGACGGTTTAAAAAGTTTGAGCACAAGACGACAGGTTTGAGCCGGCAGGTCCACACTCTCCCTCTCCCTGACACAGTGTCGTACTACAGGCTGCCTACAACCACTCAGCAAGCGGAGCTCCACCCATCACACGCTGTCAGAGGGAGAGAGGGAGGGAGGGAGAGGGAGAGGGAGTGGGAGGGAGTTAGAGAGGGAGAGCGGGATACAGCACGATCTTGACTCTTTTTTTACTTTTACCAAAGTTTTTTTAAGAAGCAAAACTGCAACATGATAAACAATCCAATGAGGGATTTTTCTTTTTTGCAATGAAACAAGATGATCAGGGCTTTTGAATCTCTGTTTCTATATGTTTTTTGTTATTATTATTTAGGTTGTTCTACTCAATAAGGAGATTATTTTGTCCTTCCCTTACACTTCACTGAGAATTGGTTGGTTTAAATGTCTGAAAACAAATTAAAAAAAAGCTCATATCCTGAGATTTTCCAGGTCACATGACCTCTGACTTTCTTCGTTCAGCCAACTCATGCCAAAAGAAGAAGCAAAGAAGAAGCAAAAACTCATTCTAAAGTGATAAAAGTTAAACTAGTCAATCAATATGCTATGACATGGCTGAATATTTGCGGGGACCAAATGACGCAACTTTCTTATCAAACAGCCTCTGAGCTCCCCTGGGAGTTACGTTTTCCTCGCTCTACACTGCAGATGTTTGACTCTCTGCCAGCTGCTCGCTACCATATAAAGACTGACTTTAATGATCGTAATTACCAGTAACTACTGTACTTCAGGCTACAGCAAATCAACCACATCTCTGTGCCCTACATCATGTTAATCTAAGAAATGTGTGTGTATGTGTTTTGCTCAAGGAAGAAGTTTACAACTCATTCATCTGTGCCACTTTAAACTCTACATTTCTTTGTAAACAGCTTAAAATCTGCTATAAAAGTTTGCAAATGTTACAGTTTGTATTTTGTATCTCCTGCTAATTTTACCTTGTAAACAACAATTATGTACAGCAAAGAGCTTTTTTTATTTACAGATTTCTGCTTTACTCTGAAAATGTTTCTTAAAGCTGTTTTTATTTGTAAGTTTCTTCTTTATGTTTTTCTTTATTTTGAACTGAATCCATAAAATCATAAACACAATAACCTGCAGTGTCTACTGTAACAGTTTCTTCACTTCAGGCTCCACAAAAGCCACAGAAAGAAAACACTAGAAGTAAAGATGTGAAGACAAGCCACAAAGTAGTTCTAATTCTAATTCTAAAAAAAAAAAAACTCCCAACCCGGACAAGGACGCAGTTTTCAGGCCATGACACTGAAAATACAACAGGAGTGATGCAACAGTGTCTCCAAGGAGCCGTTTCATGGTATGTAAAGAGGACACGCTGCTTGAATGAACCACAGGCTAACTCTTGATTTTTTTTCGATGAGCATAGCTTTGATTTCCTAGAACCCTCATAATAAACTCTCCAGTCTGTTCTGTGTTACATGTTGATTTCATCAAAGAGAGGGAAGTAGATGTGCATGTAGATATTTTATGCTAAGTTATTGTGTGTTTGCAGAAACAGATTTGTAAAAAAAAAAAAAAAAAAAGTCAAGTGTTGCCGAATAACTTCACAAGGTTTTTCCAAAAATATTTCCAGTGTAAATAGCGAGAGGTGGAAGACAGCGGGGTGCTGAGACAGGGACGCCGGTTTCCAAAATAGCAGATGCTAAATATACACTATAGGGCAACTGCTAAGGAGGGAGACGGGTTGCCAAGTTTGAGGTGTTGGGATTCTGAAAGCCGGCTCGGTGTGTAGCTGTGCAGAGTCAAGATTCCAGGCGGTCACCTGAGACGTATTTAGGCCACAGCAAGGATACACTGGATGTCTCATTTACAGCTTGTGTCAGTTTGAAATGCTGCTCTCATTGGACCAGGAACACACCTCTTGTTGAGTGGGACCACCTGTCACTGCCATGCAGACAACCTTATGTAAACAACCACAGAACATAAAGAACCCTTGAGCAGATACACGCGCCTCAGAGCAGTCAAACACACTGTGGATGGACATTCTCAACGATTGTAACCCTGTTTTCTTATTTTTTTAAATGTTACTTTTGGGATTTATCTGCCTATGTGTTCGAGGACATGACAGTGGAGTAAGAAATCAAAAAGAGAGAGTGGGGAGTGACATGCAGGACAGAGGCAGAGGGTCAGAGTCGAACCCAGGCTGTCCGCTTCAGTACTACATCCTCTGTACATGGGGCGCCCGACCTGACCGCTAGGCTGACCGGCACTCTGATTGTAACCCTGTTATGTGGCTGCTCTCAAATGTTGCTTTTTATTGCCTCCATTATCTGTGACTTTAAAAGAGTCAAGCAGCATCAGATAAAAATTCAATAACTAATATTTTGTTTCATTTGTGTTTTTTTGGTTAAAGTGTTGGTTAGACAGTAAGAGCTTTTCAATTTTGAATCATTAAATAAAAAACAGATTCATCATAAATTTACTTGGTTGGGTCCTAAATTAGTACTAGTGACTAAATTAGTTACTGCTCGCATCAAATTATAAACTCTGCTGCTCGCTTACAAAACAGCGACAAAAACGTCTCCTCCTTACTTTAACTCTCTCATCCAGGTCTACACTCCCTCCCCCCCACTATGCTCTGCCAATGAAAGGCGTCTGATCCAACCTTCACAACAGGGTCCTAAGTCTCTGACTAGACTCTTCTCCTCTGTCGCCCCCCGGTGGTGGAATGAACTTCCAAACTCCATTGATCTGCAGAGTCCCTCTGCACCTTTAAGAAAAAGCTAAAGACCCAGCTCTTTCATGAATACCTACTAACTTAATGATGATGGTCTCCATATTATTGATGATGATGATGGTAATGACGATGGTTTTTGTTCGATAACGTCGACTTATAAGATGGTTTCTATACTGATTAGAGCTCTCAAGAACTGCCCTCAATGTTGTGCTTTGCCTCTGGTCACTTCCTGTCAGCACCTGTGTGTCCAATCAGACTCAAAGCTGATCGTTTGCTCTTACTCACATTGTTCCCTTTTTTCTAGATCCTTGCTTGTGTTGTACTTACTCTCTGATGTACGCTGCTTTGATTAAAAGCGTCAGCTAAGTGAATTGTAGAATTAATTTCAGATGTAAGGCTACTTGACGAAAAGTTCTCCGCAAATAACAACGAAGATTTGAAGTTTTGTTTATGGTAATAGGTTTACTGTAAACCGTTGCAGAAGCTAACTAAAAATATTTTTTAAAGCTATTTAATGGCATGTTATTAAAAAGTAATAGGCTATGTTTTGTTTGATAAATAGATGAAGGCAAGTCAGAAATATTTTTTAAAACAAATACATACTATGCTGTGGAGGCGTGTACTACATTTTAAAAAATTAAATTTAAACAATGTCACATAATAAAACCGAATGCTATTCCATCATATTCTCGGCATGTTTCCCACACAGCTGGCAGAAGTGCTGACTGGTCATTCTATATAAACGAGTTAGGGTCCAGGAATTAGAGTGCAGAGATAAGCCCTCATGTTTCACATATTAGCTTAATGGAAATACACAAGATAGCAGCTTTAGGGCTACTTAAAGAGTCACTGAGGCCGCCAGAGGCATTACAGACGACGAGCGACTTCGGCACTCGACTCTTCAGCACTGCTCAAAGTGTTCAATCACGGTCATTTTGTGCTTCATGCACCGGATACAACTTTGATCAGGTCCTCTTTGGTTTGCTTTTACCCCCACTGTATGCTTCATGTATTTATCTTAGTAGCTATATATCACAAGAGTAATGTACAAGAGCCGTACATATGGAGAATGGAGTGCCAACTGTTTTTCAGTCAGAGAAAAGCACAACAACATAAAGACTGCAGCATGTTTTCAGCGCTTAAATCACTGTGAACATTTAAGTGAAAAAGATTTGAACTAAAAGCAAAAAACACCTCGCTGTGTTTCTTATGTTGTCAGTAGTTGCATGGTAACAGCAGGTCAACACTTAACTTCAAGCATCTGTTTAGTGTGAGCAGCTAAGATGAAAACCCCAGTAAATAAATTAAGCTAAACATTCTTGCAGAGTTTCTAAATCAAAGCGTCACCTTGTTTTCACACCGCTTACGTGTCCCCGGCCTGATTTTCTGTGCCTCAGAGTCTTTATGTGAAAATCCAGGTCACTGCAAGAACACTGACGATGATGAGTCATTATTTGTGCATATAGTTTGGTGGTTTAACGCCATATTTACAGTTTACAACATCTAAGCCTGCACTGTACAAGCTTGTTCCAACTATTTGTTAAATCTATATACGATTGTTTGTTCTGAGTGAAATACATGAACTCATACTTTACACAGTGTCACTTGATCCTTCTTTGAAAAGTGATTTTTGCACTTCAGCACCCACTTCCTCCATCTGACACACAGTTTTTTTTCCAGCCCAAGCCTCCAAGTTTTTATTAAAATAAAAGTGCAGTCAAGCTCTAGTCACCTCTTAATTTCTTTATTTTAAATTAAATGAAATTGATTTATTTATTTTTATTTTATTTTATCTATTGTATAGCAAATTACCAATATGTTTGCAGAAGTTTTTAGTCAATCAAGGAAAAAGGATTGAAAAAAGATATGAAGGCTGCCATATGTGTGGTTATATGCATGCATGTAAGTTTGTCTATCTAATGTAGGCATGAAGGAAAGGGTGTGTGTATACATGTATTGATGTGTAGTTGTTTGGTAAAATGGACAAGTGTAACTGAAAAGCATCTCCTGAAGTTGTATGTTTTTAAAAAAATACTCTACCTGTTTTGTTTATCGTTAAAAATACAATAAATTCCCCCAAAATTTAGCTTGACCATATTTGAAAGGTTTGGAATCTACATTAATTTTAAAAAAGTATTGGAGGATTGAAACGTGAGGACCTGCACAGTATTCATGTTCAAGAATAACCCACAAGCCTATCACTGCCTGTTATAAAAGGCTTTAAAATACATGACAAATATCAAACATTTTCCGTAGAGTTAATTAGTTGCCAAGTTTTTGCTGATTTCCTGTCTGTCTTCCTCTAACACAGGTGAATGAGC